GAAGGTCAGCCAATAAGAAACTTGACAAGCAACAGGTGAGGTTCAAAAACAAAATTTCTGAAAAGTCCCTAGACACAAGCCAATCAGGACTGAACTCGTCACCCTGCACCCTGCTGATGTAACTTTTCTGGGTCTTGCCTCCTCGAAGGGCAGGGTACCTACCTCCTCCTGCTACTGTGCTGACAAGGTCCCTGTTGGTTTGTAATTGAGCACGCAATAAACCTTGCTTTTGCATTTTGGTGAGTCGGGTCTCCCTGGTGGCCTTTTGGGGTCCCCACAGACTAGGCATAACAAACCCACAAATCCCTTGGTTTTCTTCTCTGCTTGCTATCTATCTATCTGTAGGGGGGAGGCCGCTAATCAGTTCCCAGCCACTCAGCCCCAAAATAACCACACAGAAACCATATTAATTAAATCACTGCTTGGCCCATTAGCTCTAGCTTCTTATTGGCTAACTCTTACATCTTAATTTAACCCATCTCCATTAATCTGTGTATTGACACGTGACTGTGGCTTACTGGCTAAAGTTCCCACATCTAAATCCGGCAGGGCTGCCTGTCTTCTCTCTGACTCCACCCTTCTTTCTCCCAGCATTCAGTCCAGTCTCCCCCACCTAGCTCTGCTCCGCCCCACCCTGTTCTGCTAAAGGCTCAAAGCAGTTCTTTATTCATTAATGGTAATCACAGCATATAAAGGGAAATCCCACACCATCTATCTATCTATCTATCTATCTATCTATCTATCTATCTATCTATCTATCTGTGTATGTTTGTGAGATAGAGGGGGGAAGATAGAGAAAGGAAGAATGTGATACAGCTAGAAAGAGGGGTGCTGACTTCCTTCCCATGTAGTCTATCATTGGAACTTGCTATATAGCCAAGGAGAACCTTGAACTCTTGGTCCTCACATTGCTACCTCCTGAGTGCTCCTACCATGCTTGTTTTTTTCCTCCTGTTTTGAACTCTTTTTTGTACCCACAGGCTCCTGATGGCAAGTCCTAAATTATTATTATTATTTTGGAAAAATTGTCCTGTAAGTGTGGTTCCTCTTGGCATTCTCCACTAGCAGCTTAGCATTTTGGCTGGCTCAGCTCTGTAAGATCAATTACCAGTGCCTGGCTTTGTGCGCTCTCTTTGTCCTTGTGGTTTTGTCTCCTTACTGTAATTTTAGTACCAATGGAGAGGAGTAAGCATGGATGGATGTTAGAAAGATACTTAAAGCCACTGAACTTTCCAAAGAGATAGCAATAGAATAAATTTAAAACACTTTTCATACTTGGGGTTTTTGTCGTAAAACATGACTACAGATTTTAGAGATGAGGAGCATGAGCCAGAGGAGCATCCATGAGAAACCCAGGACAGTAATGGTTTAAATCAGGGCCTTTAGTGCTGACCTGGCTATGTATCTGGCCTTGCAGCTTGCCTTTGAGCAGTAGCGTGCGCGGCTGTTCAGCACTGACCCTGCACTTGCCGTTCTTCTGCGCTGTCTGTGCAGGAGGAACACTGATACTTAGGAAAGCTAACCTTTATCCCTGGACCAGTGAAATGGTTTGTAAGACGCTGACTCAAAGCCAGGTCTGGGCATGCAGCTCACTTGCAATATCCCTTGCCTGGCAAGAGCAACATCCTGGATTCAATTTCAAGCACTGAAACAAAAGAAGAAAAAATATTGTTAATTATATTATCATTGATTCTGAAATAGCCGATGATGTTTACACCCTTGGGCCATCTTCAGGCTGGATGGGAGAGCGAGAATCCATGATAACAGCAATGGTTGAATCTCAGGAGAAAAGGGGCTGTGTCTCCTCTGGGTTTCCTCCCCCTCCCAGCTCTCATAATGCAGCCTGATAAATACCCAGGATTCAGAGGGGCTGAACATGCCAGGGGGTTAAGTGGTCTATGGCTTTTCTTAACATAACCCAGATCAATGCTGTGAGCTCATTTCCTGCTGCTACTCAGGGATTGCATGTCAGAATTCCATTAGAGCACATTCTTATCGTCTTCGTTACATCGTCACCGTCGCTCACACACCTACCAGGACGTGAGACAGCTATGGTGGTGTCTTAAGCAATTCACTATCAACTATGTGACACTGAATAGATTTCTCTCCAAAGTTGATCTATCTTGGGTCTTGGGCCTCTTAACGTCTCAGCCCTTTGGACTGTGACAGTCTGAGCAGGGAAGGCCAGTCTTGTGCTCTGCCGTGCTGCTATCTGACCAGCCAGCCAGTCAGGGTCGCCCTGGAGCTGCCGCACTCAGCAAATAAAGACAGAGCATGCCTCAGATGGTGGCTGAGGAGTGGACAAACGTTTTCGGTAAACACGATAGGGGGTATACTAACACTAAAATACACCACAAACACGACAGGGGTTATACTAACACTAACATAAACCAAGAAACTTATCATTTACTTGAAATTCAAATTGAAATTGGTGCCCTTTATTTTATCTGGAGACTCTAGGTCAAGGCTACTGGGAGGCCACAGCACTTGGCCCTGGCTTTAGAAAATGAGTTTCAGTGCCTCTCTTGGGGGAAGGAGGCCTTATTTCCAGACAGAGGCCTCTATTCATACCTGTACCATCTCTACAGATCATGACCCCTCCATGGGCTGGTATCTCTGAAATCTCTTGTCTTGACAGGCCTGCATGCATTATTGGGGTTTTTGGCCTCATTCCCAGGATAAGCTTTGTGATGACCACGCTGGTCTGGAAGTGTGGCCAAGGGGCAGCTGATGCTCTAATGCAGGTATAAGGAAAGAACCAGAGACAGTCGGGGCCTCTATTGGTTCCTGCGGTGGTTTGAATAAAATGGCCCCCATAGGTAGGTGCAAAGGGAATGTCACTATTAGGAGGTGTGGCCTTGTTGGAGGAGGCAGGCTTGGGGGCTCAGATGCTCAAGTCGCAGATTACGTGGGACTCTCAGCTCCTTCTCCAGCACCATGTCTGCCCGCATGCTGCCATGCTTCCGGCCGTGATGATAGTGGACTGAACCTCTGAACTGTAGGCCAGTCGCAATTAAATGTTTTCCTTTATAAGTGTTGCTGTGGTCATGGTGTCTCTTCACAGCAATAGAAACCCTAACTTAGACAGCGTCCTTGCCCCAAACTTAGGGGTGTCACGGCAGAAAGCATACGGATGTCTCTATACTTTGTATGATCTCTGATGGCTTTCAGGTTGGGGAGGTATGTATGATGAGGGCAGAGTACATTTTCACGTGCATAATGTTTTTGTTTGTTTGTTTATTTATTTAGTGGCAGGGAACCGCACCTGCCAAACCCATCCTACCTAAGTCAGCCATCCATCCTGGAAGTCCCTAGTCTTTAAGTCGTTCAGTGAAGATTTTGGAACAAAAAAATCTACAGTTTCTTGTAGAGATTTCCGCAATGGATTAGTTTATAGAAGAATCTACCTGGCTACTGTGTCGCATGTCTCTAGTTTGGGAGATAATACATTTGAGGCCAGCCTAGGTCACACAGTAAGCCTGATGTGGTACACAGCCATAACCCCGGGGCTTCACGTGTGCTAGGGAAGCTCCCCCAGCTAAGCAGCCTCTCCCGCTCCTTGTCTTTGCTCTTGAGACAGGGTCTCATGGAGCCCAGGCTGACTTCTAAGTTTTTATGTATCCAAATGTGAGCACGACCTCCTGATCTTACTGCCTCCGTTTCCCAGCTACCAAGACTATCAGTGTGGCACCACCATGCCAGGCTTAACAGATTAGGTTGCAAAATGCCCTGGTGTATCAGGGTTGCACTTGAGCCATGTAACAGGAGCCGAAATAATAATGATTTTACAAAGCAGGCATTGATCTTTCTTTGGTAGAATGCAGGTCTACATGACCAGATCCATTCTGCCTTTGTCTCTGCCTGCCATCCTTGGCTTCCTTCCTTCTAGTTACACTGGGCTCATTGCTCCTGTAAGTAAAGTGGAAAATAATGCTCTCTCTCTCTCTCTCTCTCTCTCTCTCTCTCTCTCTCTCTCTCTCTCTCTCTGCCCTTGGTAGCCCAGGTTGACTCCAAATTTGTGGTCCTCCTTCTTCTTCTTCCCTAGTGCTGAAATTATTCTTTTACATGCAGTCAAGAAGGGATCTCTGTCCTTTTCTTTAAATAGTTTCTTGGATCCTGTCTTAGTTAGGATTTCTATTGCTGTGAAACACCATGACCAAAAAGCAAGTTGGGGAGGAAAGGGCTTATTTGTGTTACACTTGAGCATTGTTGTTCATCGCTGAAGCAAGACAGAATAGGAACTCAGACAGGGCAGGATCCCAGAGGCAGTAGCTGAGCCAGAGGCCATGGAGAACAGCTGCTTATTGCCTTGCTTTCTATGACTTGCTCAACTAACCTTAGAGAACGGAGGACCAGCAGCCCAGGGATGGCACCACCCAACATGGGCAGGGCCTTCCCCATTGGTCACTAAATGAGAAAAGGCCTCACAGCTGTATCTCAAGGAAGCATTTTCTCAGCTGAGGTTGCTTCCTCTCTGATGACACTAGCTTGTGTCAAGTTGACACACAGAGCCCCAACTAGGCCAACCTTGCTTACTCCTGGAGAGCTATCTCCAGCTACAAGGTCCTGCCTGGGCAGTATTTCAGCTGTGCGACACGCGGGTTCCCAAACAGGAAGAAAAACGAGAACATTTACATACATGACTGAGTATGTAAACTCGTCAAGAGATGAGGAATAAGGCAAGCGTTCTTTTTAAAATCTGAGACAGGGTCTTGCATCTTCTTATATAGTCCATGCTAGTCTCAAATGTACCATCTTCGAGCATGCTACGCCTACACTTTTAAGACTAAGCTACACTCCCAGACGTATGTGGTTCGAATTCTTTTTCATATTATAGTATTTCCTTCCATGCCAAATTTACCTTAATGTTGATATACACATATACATACATTCATACACACACATAAACACTTCAACAGTAATAAGAATTTACTCTGAATCAAGTATGGCTATGGTTCAAGAACACTAAGTCACCCAAATGACTCGTTCCACCTTGCAAACAGTGTTTTCCGTTCGAGCAGGTGCACAGGGGCGGAGAAAGGAGCAGTCGCGAGGCCAGAAGCCTGGGAGGAAACTTTCAGCTTCACAAACTTGCGAGCGAAGTGCAAACGCCACCGACTCGCAGCTGCTTGCCCAGCCTCGGAGTCCCCTTTCCTCCCCTTTTCAGCCCCTCCCTGGCCTTTTCCGACCTTCAGGACTCCTGCCCGGCGCCGCCCGCCCGCGCCGACGTGGCGGAGCGCACAGGTCGCGGTCAGGTGGTCGGTGACGCCCGGGACCGGCTCCCGGGAGGGCGGCGCCAACGCCCGGGGTGGGGACTGCGCGGCGGCCGCGGGCGGAGCGCGGAGCGGCGCGGAGGAGCGCGGCGGGCGGGCGGAGCGCCGGGAGCGAGGTGGCACAGACATGGACCGCGGCGAGCAAGGTAGGCGGTGGCAGGCTCCCGGCGACCGCGCGGAGCCTCGGAGCGGCGTCTGGGCGACCCCGACCCGGCACGCTTCGGTGGCCGAGCCTGGGAGCCACTCACGAGCGCGGAGCGGGCAAAGGGGCCTCATCGCTGGAGCGTGAGTGTGAGCGAGTGTGCTCCGGCGTGCTCGAGCGAGTGTGCGCAATCGCGTGCGAGTGTACTGGGGAGGAGAAGGGGAGCGAGAGCCGGCGGAGGTGCTAGGCTACGCGCTGGGAGGACCACTCAGGCAGCGCGCTGGCCTCAGGGTCACCGCCAGATCCTGGAAGTGATGGGCTTCAGGTGGGACCGTGACTTGAGAAGTCTTCCTACCTGCCAGTTAGGATTCTTGGTGGTCTTTGAGCCAATGGCCACAGTGTTTGGATGTGGATATTCGTCATACTAGGAGTCCCGAAACTGTAGAGTGCTGCCTGTCTGCTTGGTTGGGGGAAGGGAGCGTTCATGGCGTGGATCTTAGTGGCCAGGTGAATCTTAGAGATCCCGTGCACCGTGGCTTTCTATTTTCTTCCTAAGACAGCAACTCAAGTGAAATCGCCAGGAATAGAATCATAATGGGGATGTGGTCAGGGTAGGTTGTGGGTTTCGATTGAAATATTGACTACAATGAAGAGCGCTGCTGTGATATGGTATGGGTGATGGTTTACAAATGCTAAAGAAAATACCCAGTGTTTACGAAGTGTGTTTAGGAATCGTTCCTGTTGTGTGCCCCGGTAGGACACTTCATTTTCTGCTTTTGCCTTTGGTATGAGTTTCAAGCATGAGTTATTAAAAATATAAATAAAACCATATTTTACTTGTACTGTATTCTATTTGCGATTAATTTGTAAGGTAGAATTTTAACCCTAGTAACCCCCCATTCTATGTTCACACTGTGTGTGCTTATAAACCTGGCATACAATATGCTCATGAGTTTGTTACTCATGTACCTTTACACATGCACACACATTGTCTAGATTTTTGGTTTTTGGGGTTGTGTTTCCTCTTTGAGCCTGTGTGGTTGACTGAATTAACTAAGTAACTTGACCTTTGTGGGTCAAAGAGTTAGAAAGTTTGTCTTTATAAACCTTTATAAAACAGTATTATTTCATCTGACTTTTCATGCAGACTGTCTGGGTAATGCATATGTGTATGTGATTGGTTTGTGTGTTCCGTGCATGTCTGTGTATGTGTTTTTGCACTGCCACGTTTAACATGTTGATGTTTTTCAGTAACAGCTTGTTACTTTGAAGTGTGCCAAAGTGCTGTTTGGTTTAGGTGTCTGGGCGACTCGCAATGGACTGCCTGTTTTCGTCCAGCAGCTGCCTCAGCCGGTTAAGGCACTGTGTGGTTTATGGGATTTTTAAGTTCCTAATTCTAGGAGTTGTAAGGAGAGTCATCATGGTGTTCAAGTGTTTCCTGTGCTGACATAGTCACTTGTCTTGCTGTCATTGTTTTCAGCTGGACACCCTGCCCCTTTGGAGAGTGTGGGGGAAGGCCAGCTGCCTTATTCTTGCTAGGAATTTCCCTAAACCTTTGTGACAGGCCGCCTGCCGTCAGCCGGACCCCAGGGAAAGTAAGTACTCAGCAAGGCTTGTTGATGCTTTGGATTGAAAGAGCCTGTGTGGCTGCTTCCAGCTGCTACCCTCTGTCTCCCTAGTTCCCTTTTCGGTCTCTTTGTTTCCTTCTCCTTTTTTTCCCTTTCCTACTTCCTTTTCTCTGTGATAAGGCTGTGTTTAGCAGGCCAGATAACTTTACCTGTAAGGGCCTTTGAACTGGCAGTGTAGGTGGGTCTGCCCTGAAGGAGTGTGCGTCCAATGCCTGGCTTCTTGTGTGGTTTTAAATCTGGTGCGCACCAGCATCCCAGTGTTGGCTGGGATGCAGTGTAGTAAACTGTGATTGTGTCCTTATTTAGTTGTAAGGTCATTATTTTTCATCCCCAGAGTATTTCAATCTAAATCATAAACTCTTTGGACTTACTTTTTCTTTTTTTCCCTTCCTTTTTTTCTGTAAATCCCAGCCTCTGCCGGCCTCCATCTTTGGAGGCCCCTCCCCTGTAACCCCTCGAACCTTGATCCCCCTCCCCAGGAAAGTTCAAGACCACTCCCATAGGTTAGAGTTATTTAAACTGCTCGCCAGAAAATAAACACGTTGTTTTCCCTTTTTCTCTGGTGGTTGTGTTGGTGACTTCTCATTCCCCTCAGGGCCACCCGGGAGTTCAGGTGTCTAATTAAATCTGGACATCTTTTAATCTGGTCTGACTTGGCTTGATTATGATTATTTTGTTTCACCAGAGAGCTTGCAGCTAGAAAATATTCCTAAAACTTTCCTTTCTTCTTTGTTTTGTTTTGTTTGAGTCAGAGTTTCTCCTTGTATCTGCCCTGGCTGTCCTAGAACTTGCTTTGTAGACCAGACTGGCCTTGAACTCCTAGAGATCCACCCGCCTTTGCCTCCCGAGTGCTGGGACTAAAGGATTTAAGTTAAATGTCCCCTTCTTGTCTTACTTGAATTCTCTTGAGAAGGCCTTAGATTTCCTTGTATGATGCTGGTGCCGTATATTTTGCTACTGATCTTTTTTTTGTTGTTGTTGTTTTGTTTTGTTCAAGACAGGGTTCTCTGTAGCTTTGGGGTCTGTCCTGGAACTAGCTCTTGTAGACCAAGCTGGCCTCGAACTCACAGAGATCAGCCTGCCTCTGCTGCCCAAATGCTGGAATTAAAAGACTATGCCACCACCGTCCGGCTGCTACTAATCCCTTTAACAGACCTATAAGCTTAAAATAAACATATTTCTGTCATGTTCTTTGATACTTTGTAGTCTATGCCCAGGTTATTTTTCTACTTTTTGTTTAGATGTTGGGTACCATGCTTTCTTTCTATTGCAAGGGATCTCAAAAATACCTTCTCTGCCTATTGCTCTCTAAGCATGCTCAGGCATTAGCTGGGCAGGGAACTTACCGTGGATGGTGTTTCCTACGCTGCACCGCTGTGCCTACTGGAGCATGCCTGTGTGACAACAAAGCCCTCCTGTCTCCTTTACTGAATAAATATTTATATGCAAGGACTCCCTTATGTCAGTAAGAGCATGAGCGCTGTGATAGGGTGGCAGCTGTAGTCCATCTTCTGAGCATGGTGTTCCTGTCAGGGATACTGTGACAGCTGTAGCCCATCTCCTGAGCATGGTGATCCTGTCAGGGATACTGTGTGTGACAGCCATAGTCCATCTCCTGAGCATGGTGATCCTGTCAGGGATACTGTGACAGCCATAGTCCATCTCCTGAGCATGGTGTTCCTGTCAGGGATACTGTGACAGCCGTAGGCCATCTCCTGAGCATGGTGTTCCTGTCAGGGATACTGTGACAGCCGTAGGCCATCTCCTGAGCATGGTGTTCCTGTCAGGGATACTGTGTGTGACAGCTGTAGCCCATCTCCTGAGCATGGTGTTCCTGTCAGTGAAATAGTACTTAAAGGGAAAAAGGAATGGTTACCAGAGCCAGAAACCCGAGGAGAGAAGATGTGGAAGGGGAAGAACAGTGGAATGATGTGTTGTTGTTCTTTAACCATTTAGCTTTAGAGGTAGCTCAGATCTGGGATGTCACTTATTTAAAAGTAAAGTAGGTGTAGAGAAGAACGGATAACACAAAGGGTCTCCTCTGGTGACATCAGGAGCGACCTGCCCAGGTTATTATTGCTCAGCATCCTCCGTTCCCATATGTCTGCATGGATATCTTTGTTGGGTTTTTTCCACTTTCTGCTTGTTTTTTTTTTTTTTTTTTTTTTTTTTTTTNGTGTTGTTGTTCTTTAACCATTTAGCTTTAGAGGTAGCTCAGATCTGGGATGTCACTTATTTAAAAGTAAAGTAGGTGTAGAGAAGAACGGATAACACAAAGGGTCTCCTCTGGTGACATCAGGAGCGACCTGCCCAGGTTATTAGTGGGCAAGCTTATGCGTTCCCATCTGTCTGTATCTCTCTCTCTGTTTGTTTCTCTCCATTTTCTGCTTGTTTTTTTTTTTTTTTTTTTTTTTTTTTTTTTTTTGACAGCCTGTCTGACCATCCCAAGGGGGAAAGCTGAGTAGTGGGAGTGGCTGAGGTCTTTTAGCAGATTCTCTGAACAGAATAATCTAAGGGTGTAGTAAAAACAGATACTACACATCCACCGTCAGAGCAGAACTTGCGCGGAGCCTTTGCCGCAGGCTAAGCTCATTTTGTGCCCTCTTGGGGTTAATTTGCTGCTTTCCTTGTTGACTGTTGTAAAATCTCTTTTGAGACCCTCACAAACTTTAAACTGGCTGAGTACCAGCTGTAAAGATACCATGGTTTTACATTTTTAATTTAAAGAAGAGATCAAAGATTTGTTGGTTGATTGGTGGTTTGATCGAGCAGGATCTTGCTAGGTAGCCAAGGCTGGCCTAGAACTTTGTCTTTCTGTGTGCCGGGTCAGAGGTGATTCAGGGCACATAAGTTGTTAATGAAAATTGAAGAAAAAAAAAAACTACCAACATTAAGCTCTAAAAATATGTGTTTTTTGGGGGGGGGTTTAAAATAATTTATTTTAGAAAAATTAGAAACGGGGAGGAATAGAAAGAAAATAAAATTCGTTTTTGTTTTGCTGGGGCTGCTGGATGAACCCGGGCCTGGGGATCGAACCCAGGTAAGGGCTCAGACAGTGAGCCATGTGTCCAGCAGCTTCATTGTTGTATGTGTGTGTGTGTTCAGAGGCCAGAGAAAAACAAGTGGTTTTATCTCTCTCCATCTTACTTCTTCGGATAAAGTCGCCCCACTGAGCCTGAAGCTCAACATTTTAGCCAGGCTGGTGAGCTTCTGGAATTTTCTGTCTCTGTCCCTACTGATTGGGTCACAGGCATTGGGAGTGACCTTGCTTTTCACATGGGTGCTGTTTTTTTTATTTTTGCTTTTCAAGACAGGTTTCTCTGTGTAGCCCAGGCTATCCTGGAACTTGCTCTGTGGACCAGGCAGGCTACGACCT